GCTCTCATTGGACAACCTAGCAGGAGATATCTTTGGGTATTTTTCTTATCTTTTTTCATTTCTCATCACTTTTATTACCCTGCGTCAATGAATTCATTATTCGTTTATGTGGTTATTATATAAATCTTAATTTTAGTGGGTTTTTCCATTAGGCTGATTTTTCACCTGTTCAAAAAGTTTCTTTTTTTTATTGTTTCCTTAGAGAAACCCTTACAAAGGGAGTGAGAGAGAAAAGAATTGAAAAGGGGCATTAAATTTGAAATGTTTTCTTTAAATGAAATTTATGAGGATGAAGAAGCCTTTAAAATTTGAAACTGATGATGTATTGCTAGTGAGGTAGGAAATGCAAGTGTTTGGTTTGTGAATATATGTATAGTTTGTTATTCTTATTGATATGCTTATTTGTTAGTTGTTACCATAAGTTTGGATCAAATTTGGTGTTCCTAGATATTATCAAGGAAGAGTCATTTGGATGAGGAAATCTACAATGAGCTTGTTGAGAAGGCTAAGGAGGAAGGGTATGATGTGAACAAACTCCACAAGACTCCACAGAGTGATACTCCACCTGAAGAACAAGGTCCCCAAGACACCAAAGGGATTTGGTGGTTCAAGTCCCTCTTTGGGAAATAGGTATGGGGAGGTCCTTGGTTTGAACTTTGAACAAGTGTTTCAGGTTATAAATAAGGAGATCAACAACTCCAATTCCAGCAATATTAACCTTTGTAATGTGTCTATTGGTGTGTTCTGTAAATATGCTAGGCTGAAAAGATATGAACTTTTGTAAAGTTGATGTTTGATGCTTTGCTTGTGTAAGTTCTTATTATTGTTTATGTGAGATTACAATCTTCTATATTTTACAGCCATTTCCATATTGTTTGTTTTCTCTCTTTGATACTGCACAAAATTCAGCAAAATATCTCTTTGCATGTATGTTTTAAAAAATATGTAGACCAATTCTCTGCAATAGACACAGAAAACTAGTTACTAAAAATTGTAAAACACGTATTTGATGCACGCCAATTTGTATTTTGATTATCATATTCCTCACTAGTATCTGCAGAGACAAATAAACACCTACAATATAGTGTTAAAATTCATTTACTTCTGAATTCTTTTTCCTTATTTTCTTTCAACTCTTGTAATATAATCTCTTCTATGCTTGTGATTTCTGCAAAAGGATTCGATAAACCCAATTCTAAAATTGCTTAAACCCTTCTTGGTTGATTGAACCTTTCACACCATTTGTAGCAGGCAATGAAACTATCTTGTGTGTAATAAAAATACAAAAAATGTTGTTGAAGGGTCAATTTTGTTGGCCACTTTAAAAGTCGAATGAGGCATTGGATCAGACTGCATCTAAATTTAACGTAACATGTTGTAACCTTAGGCAATCTCCCATGATAACATTACAAAATGTGTGACAGATATAGAATGACTCAGTTACTATGCTCGTTGTGTGAGGATGATATAACAACTCAGCTTACTAATTAATATTATTAGTCTCATGTGTGAAAGAGATAGTATTGACAAGCCAAATGCATGTTATTGTACAGCAACAATAAGTCAATTACATGCAATAATGGGTTGTATTAAAGAGACCGTGCCGTGTGGTAAATTTAGTCTGAATCTCGCAATAAGTTACAGTTTTATGACGTTATTGCATTTAATTTCTAAAAATGACGTTAATTGTTGATCCTTTGAGAGTAAATTCTAGCCAGCTATTTATGCGGGAAAACGTGTGGAAATAAATAGAAAATAAATCTCATTTTTGAGTCAATCTTACTCACCAATTTGCTTCAATGTTTTCTTTCACATTCCCTTTTAGAGTTTTCACACAAAAACTCTATCACAGGGAATAATGTTTGTTTAATCAATCCAACGCATCAAAAATATGATCATGGATTTTTGGGTATGCATGTGATCTTTCGTAATTTGTTTCCTTTTCTTTCAGTTTCATGTGGTTCTGACGATTATCATAAAAGGACAGAGAAGTTTCTAAATGAGCATGAATAATTAAGAAGACATGTCTTTGAAAATCATTATATATATCAGCAGAGGAAAACGACACGTGGGAATTTAAATGCAAAGCCATTACATATACAAAAAACATTGAACCATATCTTAATTAAGGTTGTGTGTTTTAAAATATGAATTAGTGTTCTTTGTAATTCTAATTGCTTGCTTTGATTGACATTAACAGGACAAAAACAAAATGATGAGAAACTTGTGTCTTTTCTCCTTGTTGCTCCATGCAACAATGGCCCAGAAACCAGCAATTCCAAATAAACCTGTAGCAGGTCCACAAGTTCCAGCTGCTACCCCTGTGCAGAAATGGTCAACATTAAGTGGTAGGTAATCACTCATTTGGAGAAGCTTCTTCAATTTTCTTGCATGGCTAAATGTTTATGATTCTTTATTCCCTAACTTTGCTTGCAGGTAATGAACCTCTTGTAATAGCCCGTGGTGGGTTTACTGGTCTCTTCCCCGAAGGGAGTCCAGATGCAATAGGGTTGTCAAAGGACATAAGCACTTTTTTGTGTAATCTTCAGTTGACAAAAGATACAGGTGCATATTGTCTCACAGGCACTACCCTTGACAATTCAACAACTATAGCATTGTTTGATCCCAAGGAAAATACCTACAATATCAATGGCAAGGATGTGCGAGGGTATTTTTCCTTGGATTACACTGGTTCTCAGATAGATCAAAACGTGTCAGGTATGTTTTCATAAATCTACATTCACATTTGTGCTTAGGAAACCTTCCCATAAGGAGCCTAACTATGACTTTGTTAAATAAATAGGAGTGATAATTTAGTTTATGTATACTCTTTTTAACCTCTTATTATTCAGTACTAAGTATATTGGAAAAATAAAAAATTTCCTTTGAATATTTATTATATTGACCTATGGAACTTTCTCACATATCAATATCTAGGAATGTGCTAAAAAGAGCATTCTACAACCAAAAGCCTCCTTAGGATTGTTAGTGCATGTATAGACTCTTTTTCATGCATATTTTAAAACAGTATTTTACCAAATGAAATGCAACACTTCAGTACTGGTTAGGCGGGCAAATACCATATATAAACGTAACATGATATGGGTTTATAGAATTGCTTCCATTTTGTAGCTATAGAACCAAATTTTTGCTTTGTTTTATCTTCACAGTAAACCAGGCTATATTTTCGAGACCCGCATTTTTCGATGGAGTTTCCCCGGTTCTTAATGTTGATGCTTTACTAGAGGATAAAGCCCCACCAAAGTTCTGGTTGAATGTTCAGGTTCTTTCTCTCTTTCATATGAATAACAAGATATGCTGTGAAAATTGAAATTTCTTGAGCACTGTCTCATTTTTTCCTTTCAGTTCCGTTAATTGAGTGTTTTGTTACAGAATGAAGCATTTTACACTCAACATGGATTAAAGGTCGTAGATATTGTTCTAGAAATACTAAAAGTTTATCCGATAGACTTTGTTTCATCTCCAGAGATCAGTTTCTTGAAGAGTATCAACGGGAAATCAAACAAGGCAACTAAGGTCATCTTTCAGCTTCTTCATGCTACTGATGTTGAACCCACAGCCAGAAAGCCATATGGTGACATTGTGAAGGATCTTTTGAATATCAAGTCATTTGCTTCAGGCATAATGGTCCCAAAAGAATACATATGGCCAGTTAAACCAGATAAATATCTGGGGCTTCCTACAACACTTGTAGCTGATGCTCATAAACTTGGATTAGAAGTATATGCTTCTGGTTTTGCTAATGATTTCTTTTCAAGTTACAATTTTAGCTATGATCCTACAGCTGAGTACCTGCAATTTATAGACAAGGAAGTTTCTGTTGATGGCGTTGTTACTGATTTTCCAGTGACAGCATCAAATGCCATCGGTGAGATGACAAATCTTCAACCTTCAATTCATCAACATTTTCCAAATTGCAAACCTACTCTTCAACCTTTTCTCACAATTTTGTTGTTTTACAGCTTGCTTTGCACACAACAATACCTTGCCCCAAAAAGGTATAATTTCTAATCTGGAAATGTTTTCAATCATAAACATAGATAAGATAAATAGAAAACCTCATAATTAATACATCTGCTTTTGCAGGACCAACTTTGATAATAAGCAACAATGGAGCAAGTGGTGTTTACCCCGGCAGCACTGATCTTGCATATAACCAAGCAATAGCCGACGGAGTTGACATTATAGATTGCTCAGTTCAAATGACAAAAGATGGAGTTGCTTTCTGCTCAAATTCAATAGACCTAATAGGAACTACAACCGCAATGACTAAGTTCATGTCTCGATCTTCCCTTGTCCCGGAACTTCAAGCAAAAAGTGGAATTTTCTCCTCTGACCTTACATGGAGCGAGATTCAGACAGTAAAACGTAAATACTTTTATAGAACAAATTTCACATACCCAACCTTTGAATTTGAATATGAACCTAAATAGTATAAATTCTTTGTTTCAGCTCAAATTGTTAACACTCAAAGTGACTTACCAAGAAATCCAGCAGAAAAGAACAGCGGTAAATTTGTTACACTCCCTGAATTTTTGGAATTAGCCAAAGCAAAGGCAGTTGCTGGCATTTTGGTCAACATATCGGTGAGAAACATCCCCAACTCCCTACAATGCTTATACTTGAAAATTACCCACTAATACTAAATGTCTTTATTTGTCTCACAGAATGCTGCCTACCTTGCATCAAAGAAGGGTCTTGACATTGTAGGTGTTGTCAGCACTGCCTTAAGCAATGCAACCTTTGACAAACAATCCACACAACAAGTCCTGATTCAATCAGATGATAGTTCAGTGCTTTCCAAGTTTAAGGATATCCCATCTTATAAAAGGGTGTTGTTAATTGGTGAAATAATAGGAGATGCACCAAGGCCAACCGTTGATGAAATTAAGAAGTACGCAGATGCAGTGAACCTTCCTAAAACCTCTGTTGTTACAGTAACTACCGCTTCTGTGTTATCAGGGATAACAAATGTTGTTAAAGAGTTGAGAGATGCAAACCTCACAGTTTTCATACGTACTCTCAGAAATGAATACACGTCCCTGGCCTTTGACTATTGGTCAGATCCTAATATTGAGATCGCTACTTATGTCCAAACTGCTAGGGTTGATGGACTCGTGACTGATTTTCCTGCCACTGCAAGTAGATACCTAAGTAAGTAATTGTAATCTCTTTAGCTTTCTTTGTTCGTTCAAGGAGCATAAGACAAAACAGTATTTTTTTAGAATAATACCTCATGTACCTTTCTTGAATTTGCAGGAAGTCCATGTAGTGATCCTAAACTCGTGCCTACCATCTCACCAGCTCAGCCTGGTGAACTAATGAGTACCATTCCAGCTGAGATACTACCACCATCAGGTGCACCACTTCCATCTCTTGAGGTTGCCGATGTTGTTGACCCACCTCTTCCTTCCGTGGTAAATATGACTAAAGATGTGCATGCTGCTGCACCTGCTGCTCCAGTTACACCCTCTTCCACTGCCTCAGCAAATGTTTCCAATGTTGCTCTCTCCCTTGTAGCAATCTTGGTGTTTGCTATGGTTTCTGCTCGTCACTAATTTCATTTGAACTTGTCATGAACCTTCAAGATCTTCAGTTTTCATCCACTCTCTTATGTGATACCTCAGTTTGTAACATTGGATCATCACTGGTTGACAGCAATTTATTCATGATTTCTTCACATACCATTACGATCATCACAGGTTGACAGTAATTTGTTCATACTTCCTTCACATACCATTGCCTCAACTTTCTGAAGCAATAATGTTACAGTAATACTATATTAGACATTAGATATCTATACATGAGAGTTTTCATAAATTTATATTTATATAATTCTCAGGCAATAAGAATAATAATAGAAAAATGAATTATAGGTTATGCTAAAATATTTCAATTCTATACTTCAGAATAGAACTAGTCAGGGATGCTTAAAAAGGGATTGTTTAGAACGCAGCACAGTGTAATGCAATCAAAACCCTTTTTTTCTGAGCCAATAAGGATGTATAAAATTATAATAGTCCAATCTGACATCAATTATCTACACCAAAACAAAAAAGCACTCCTAAAGAGAAATTTAAAAGCTGATTTGTTTAGACATAAAAAAGACAAACAGTGTATGAGAAGCTAAAACTACAAGCTTAATTTTAACTTCTTTTAATATAAAAGATTAAGTAAAAACACAAGCAAACATAGTAATTATTTTTCTAACTAAAAAAAAGTTTTATGACAAAACCTAGAACTAGAACAAACGGACCCTAAAGGTACACAAAAAATGTCATTTCCCAAAACGATCAACGGAAAATAGAAGGAGATAGAGTGAATTAACACTATGTTTGCGATATGATGTATGGAGTGAGAGAGGGAGAGTGTATTAGAAAACCGATTTCTCATCTCTCATTCCAAACATGGCACTAAAGATAGAAGTAGGTTTTGGGCGAGGCTCAGAATTAGCATTAAAAATGGTATAGGTCGTCGAGAAGCAACACCACCATGGATAGCTGCAACTAGTTGCCACGCCACCGGCGATGAGTGTTTAACGGTGACCCACCCATCCTTCTCACACTCCGAAACCATCGTCACAGCCTCGTTTTTTGGGGTTAGAGAGAAAGAGAGATTTCATTTTGTTTTGTTGTTGTTTATGTTGAGGGGAGAAAGAGAGAGATTAGGGTTAGTTGGGAGCAACAAGAGACAGAGGAGCCTCTTTCTGAAATCAGAGTGTGGTTTTCACAAACACCCTAACTCTGCCTCAACCTCATCCTCTCCCCCTCAAACATAAATAAATACTTCATTAATGGGTTTTTAGTATTATTTGTAAAATTAATAATGATTAAATGCATATATTGTTGTTAGCAAAAGATAAATGTAAGACTAACTCTTGGGCCAACAACAATGGTTAGATAAGCTTTCACAAAATGATTAATTGAGAGTCAAACTTTTGATTTTGCAAATAAAATCCACTTGCAGCTGTAATCTGTTTTAGAGTCTACTAAGTTGACACAAGAAGGTGATAGTTGATGAATATTAAAATATATTTTAAGTTGAATAAACATAAAATTTAACTATAATTTTAGTCCCCATATAAATTTATACAAAATGATTCCATATTGTGTGCAACAAAGTTAATGCCTCTTCTTCCCGGTCATAGTGAAGTGCTAACTAAGTGCACCCAACACAAGAACCTCCACAAAGGTCGAGCACTTCACGCCCACATCCTCAAAAACGGTTCCTTTTACAGTTCCATCTACCTCGCCAATACCCTCATCACTCTCTACGCCAAATGCGGTCACTTCCACAAAGCCAACCTCGTTTTCAACTCTATACCCAACAAGGACGTTGTTTCATGGAACTCCCTTATCAACGCTTTCTCCCAACACCATCCTCACCGACCCACTTCCTCCTACTTCGTTATGAAACTCTTCCGCAGCATGAGGGAACAAAACACCCTCCCCAACTCTCACACCTTCGCTGGCGTCTTCGCCTCTGCTTCCAATTCATCTGATATTTGTGGCGGACGACAGGCCCATACGGTTGCTATTAAAACTGATAGCTTTGGTGATGTTTTTGTTGGGAGTTCGCTTTTGAATATGTATTGTAAGACGGGTTTTGTCTTCGAAGCTCGCAAGCTATTTGATAGAATGCCTGAGAGGAATACTGTTTCTTGGGCTACCATGATTTCTGGGTATGCTTCTCAGGATATGCCTAATCAGGCTGTGGAGCTTTTTGAACTCTTGCGTCGTCAGGAAGAGGATGAGAATGAGTTTGTGTTCACTAGTGTGATCAGTGCCTTGACAAGTCGTGAGTTTGTGGATACTGGTAGGCAGGTTCATTCTCTTGCAACCAAAAATGGTCTGCTTTCGATTGTTTCTGTTGGGAACGCTCTTGTGACGATGTATGGGAAATGTGGGAGTTTGGATGATGCGCTTCAAACTTTTGATTTGTCAGGGAATAAGAATTCTATCACTTGGTCTGCCATGGTTACTGGTTATGCACAAAGTGGGGATTCTGATAAATCCTTGAAGCTTTTTTACAATATGCATCATTCTGGAGTGTTACCCAGTGAATACACTCTTGTTGGGGTAATAAATGCTTGCAGCGACCTTTGTGCCATTGTAGAAGGAAAACAAATGCATGGTTATGCATTAAAGTTGGGGTATGAATCACAATTGTATGTTTTGTCAGCGTTGGTGGACATGTACGCAAAATGTGGTAGCGTAGTGGATGCTCGTCAGGGTTTCGAGTATATACAACAACCTGATGTTGTTCTTTGGACTTCTATCATAACAGGGTATGCACAAAATGGGGATTTTGAAGGTGCTCTAAATCTGTACTGCAAAATGCAGATGAAGGGAGTTATCCCGAATGAACTAACTATGGCGAGTGTCCTTAAAGCTTGTTCCAGCCTAGCTGCTTTAGATCAGGGAAAGCAAATGCATGCTCGGATTATTAAATATGGTTTCAACTTAGGAGTTCCAATTGGAAGTGCTCTTTCTGCCATGTATGCAAAGTGTGGAAGTTTGGGTGATGGGTACCTCATTTTTTGGAGGATGCCTACCAGAGATGTAATTTCGTGGAATGCAATGATATCTGGACTTTCTCAAAATGGCCGTGGCAATGAAGCCTTGGAGTTGTTTGAGGAGATGTGCTTAGAAGGAACAAAACCTGACCATGTTACCTTTGTGAATCTTCTCTCAGCCTGCAGTCATATGGGACTGGTTGAGAGAGGCTGGAATTATTTCAAGATGATGTCTGGTGAGTTTAACATTGCTCCAACAGTAGAGCATTATGCTTGCATGGTTGATATCTTGAGTCGTGCTGGAAAACTCACTGAAGCAAAAGAGTTCATTGAATCAGCAACTGTTGATCATGGTTTGTGTCTGTGGCGGATACTATTGGCGGCCTGTAAGAACTATCGTAATTATGATCTTGGTGCCTATGCTGGAGAGAAACTAATGGAGTTAGGCTCACCAGAATCATCTGCTTACGTATTGCTATCAAGTATATATACAGCCTTAGGAAAGTGGGATGATGTAGAGCGTGTAAGGCGGATGATGAAAAACCGAGGGGTAACTAAAGAACCTGGTTGTAGCTGGATTGAGTTGAAGAATTTGGTTCACGTATTTGTTGTTGGAGACAATATGCACCCACACATTGAAGAAATAAGGTCAGAGCTAATGTCATTGACCAAATTGATGAAAGATGAAGGATATGAACCTCTTTCAGATTTATCCCCCACAACTATCAGAGACAGAGATGGTCTAAGAGGTATTATTTGATGAGTGTTTCAATTCCTTGCCTATCAAACTTTCAACTAAGTGCATGTTTGGTTTGGTGGATTTTTTTGGTAAAATAAGCTGTTTCTTGGCCATACAAAGCCGCTGCCAATGTTCAACATGTTTGGCGAAAGCAATTTTTTTGTAATTTACTATATAATAACATTTTTTTTATAAAATCCAAATGAAAAAAGATTATCTTAAAACCGCTTTTCAGAAAACATACCCAAACATTAACAGATTCAGCTTGATTATAATTATAACTGATTATAATCATATTCTTATTTTCTCAATTATACCAAAGACATAAACCAAGTATTATTCTTTTACCGTATTGACTGGTGTATGGTTTAATTTATACTATTGAAAAAAGTTTCTTAGTAAACTGTGTTGAGAAAAATATAGTTCATTTGAACCTGCATCTGTTTGTCTTTAAATTCGTCATTTACTTTGTGATATATTGATTTTAATTGACAGAGACAGCTTATACTCTAATAATTCTTCAAGTTACTTATTTTTCCTTAATTTTCATTATTCTTTTATTCATGTAGATCTAGAGGGAAGCGACGAGATACAAATTACTGTCTGTGGTGGCTTGTAGAAAGATAAAATGGTGGAAGTTGCTGTTATTTCCATATTCTTCTTGTTTTCTATCATCTGGCCACGATATTTTCCTCTAACCTTTAATGGATAACTTAACTTAGTAGTGGTAAAAACTTATGATTCATTCTTTATCAGGATGGCATTTCACTACCAAGTGTTGCTATTGGTGCTATTGTCTTTATGCACTTTGTTGTTGATTAGCTATGTGAGGAGAATTGTCTCTCACTAAGAGGGAAGTTGCAAATGGTTCCAAATCTAGCCAGAAGCCAGATATCACAAAATATGGCCCAAATACTGACATCAATGATGATCAGAAAGAGTGAAATGAGCTCAACTTCCCATTTTGTAACATATTGAGTTATTATACTCCCAATATATTCTTTGACTTGTTTGAGTTTGCAAAGCTAATGAAAAGATTACAGAATTACTATATGCACACAATTG